AATGGGCCCATATCCATCACATGCCAAGAAAAAAGTTGCTTTTTATTAACACTAAGTCTCCCACAATCTAATATACCAGATATGCATTTTTTCTCTTATTATTTTATCATTAAGATCCAGTATTGTTGTCCATTGGCATATGCTTCTCATTTTAAATAACATATGTTAGAAATTAATGCCTATATTTTATTCACTTTTAACACAAATCCACTGATAAATGAGTTTTGCTGAAAGCTTTTCTACCCACTTCATGAATTTAATGATTCCCTCCCACTCAAAAGCCAATGTTAAAAAAGACAAATGGCATTAAGCCAATGCAAACAGCCTCACATATCAAAATACAAATTCAGGGACTAGCATGACAAACCCAACACATACCAGACAGGGCCTTAACATCTAATAAAACTTCCTGAGACTCACCTCTCTGCAGTGTAATTGGATTTGTTGTATCAACATACAATGAAGCCTGTAAACATTCAATTAGTGTAATGGAAATTTGCTATTCAATGCACATGGAGTCAGAGCACACACTTTAGTTGAAGGCTGTGTATAAAATACACACCCTGTTTTTCGAACTTGAGGATTTTACGGTCTCCTATGTACAATATTTACTATTTCCCATTAAATAAAACTTGTACTTTACAGCCCTATGTCAATCCACTGCTTGATGAAGCCTCTGAATGCGAAGTTCAGTCACGTGGACTGTTTGATCATATTTCATCACGCTGGCCAGTGCAGGTCTGTGAAGGGGAGGTGCAGGACCTTTTCGGATATCGCTCACCACTGATGTTAGCCGTGGCTGGGACTCGAACACAAGCTGGGCAGGATCATAGTGCACTAAGCAAACCACTGTGACATGACTCTCCATTTATCCTTCTTAAAACCGTCGATATTTAAAATGGGCTTATCAAGCAAATGTTTATACTGTTGTTTAAAAAAGCCCCCCCCCCCCCCCGATCAATTAACCAAACTCAAAAATGTTCACCTCGACAGGGGAGACAAGGGAAAGCACCCCCAAGACTCCGGAAAGCTGATAAAGTCAAACAGCGTTCCACACACAAGACTTTCATTACACAGCTTCGAATGAGCGTGCAACTGAAAAGCCACAACCTCATTTAACTTATGAGAAACAGCTGCATGTGCCACATAGCCGCACATTAGTGCAGTTTGCCAGGTCACCCCACCTCCACTCTCTTTACTTCAGACCCCAACTTCCTCAGCATTAACCTGCAGGCTAAACAGACAGACTCTAAATCGGCGTTCTATATCATTAAACCGATGCCATTTAGCTTAAAATACTTCCACTCATCTGCACAATCATAAGAGGCTTCAAATTACAATATGCTCTATTGTGGTTCTGGAAGCTGTCATTTATGTTGCTGGGTCCCACCTAAGCCTTGCTCCATAAAACAAACAAGAGGCCATTTGGGCTAAGGCTACATCACAATAAAGGCTTGTGCCATATACATAATATTGTATACCATTTTTCCACACACTTCTTAAGTTCTAGAAGTAGTGTGACCACGCCGTGCAATGCGTAATCACCAAACAAATAATGGATTTACTGTAGGTATAGCACCTGGCAGTGCAGAACCTTTCATGCAAACTATATACCATAGTTGCAACCATATGAAAACGGTTAGCTATGACTCACAACGTTATATACGTAGAACTATAGATCAAACGTTGACATTTTAAATCAACACAAATAACCCAATAAAGTATAGCCACTATGTTTGCAACGCACTTTTTTTTACGTCCTTCAAAAAAAACTGGGATTTTTGTTGTTGCTGTTCCTTGTGTAAATGTAAGGCGGCAGTGAAGCACCTTTGTACTGAAAGTCAAACGAGCCCCATCTCTCAAGCTGCCGCGCTGTAATTTTTGTAAACAGCCAGGATGAGGGCGAGGCACTGCAGAGGAGGAGGAAGAAAAGAGGGCTTATTCCGGACAGGGTAATTACGGCCTGGGGCGCCCATATAAGCGCATTCCGGGAAATGCTGGAGACAGCGGGGATAGCCACTTCTTGCAATCTTTAACAGGGCGAAATTACAAAGCAGGGACGGACACGCGGCTTGCTGATGCCTGGGTCCTTGCCAGTGATCGTGAACAAAGCATAGCAATTATGTAATTGGGGGGGGGCTTCAGTAATGCAACTAAGAGCCCAAGAATCATGGGAATCAAAATGCACATTTTCAGAAAATGTTTACTCTTGTTTCAGTTCAGGTGTGCTTTGTGTGTGAATTGTGCGTGTGGCTACTGCAGTACATCCCAATTCGGCAAATTTGCGTGAGTTTAGTGATTATTATAACGCATCTGTAAATGGGGTCAATGTTACTAAGTTGTAACATTTACATAAAAAACTAACAAATGTGCTGTGTGCATCGGTCATGTTTAAGATCTACATTCTAATGCTACGTTTCGGTTCAGAAAAAGAGAGGCACATTGTTTTCTTTGAAAAAAAAATCGAACCTTTTGGGTGAAACATCAAAGTAGTAAACATTGTCACCAGTGCCGTGCAGCATAAGACATACGCCGGTGTTATGCTCTTGGCATACATAAACAAACGTGAACAACAAAAAACCTCACACTCGTCAACAACACTGCCTGAATTTTTTTTAATCGGCAATGTTTTGCGCAATTGCCCTTCTTTATAGCCCATCAGGTGCTGTGGAGAAGGGTATAATTGCCAACGCAGCATCACCAAACACATTTTTGTAAGCAGTCATCCTTTGGATAGAATATTCTACTTTTTTACTTTCGTGTAACGTTTAACACTAAAGACTCAATTATGTCGCTGCGACTTAGGGAAAATGCATTCACGTGGCTACATTTTTAAGAAGTGTTAATAGAATATGTACAAGTGACATTCACTTATGAATAACTATATCCTGGGGAAATGTTACCGTTTTGCAATGCACTTCTAAGCAACTATCTGTATCAGGTCCGTATGTAAAAGTTTCTTGACACAAATAATTACATGCTGCAACATATGCTGCTTTCGACTTATAGCCTACACTTGCGACATTTATGGAAAATAATACCTAATAAGGATTGCAGAAATCTTATCAATTTATGTATAATTTCAAGTACGGAATAAGTGCCTCGCATCCAGCATAGGCATGCACATCTGGTGTGCGAATAATAACACTGTGCAGGGTGGTCCAGATTTCTTGTGGTCTCAATTTAATTATCTCAAAATTTATATTTTTTAAAGTAAGGTTTATTTAAATCAGAAATGAATATCGAAGGAAAAAATTGGTAAATCTGAATGAATCGAGGGTCACAAGACATCTGGACCACTCAAGGTTGAGTCAATCCTCAACAGAACTAATACTAATGCTACGTTTAACGACATTGTGAAGCCCTGCGTCTAAGTGTGAATGAATTTATAAATTAAGCATACTGCCTGCATATAGAGTTGAAAGCAATGTCACGTGTGTGAATTTAAATTTGCTGTCACTAATTTGATTGTTAGGAACAACATCTACAATACACAGTTTATGCAAATGCATGCTTAATTGCATTATTCGTTATGTAATTTAAGAGACAACTTAACAAGCAGACAGAGTATTAATGTGCCGTGGCAAAACTGTAATACATCCTGGCATGTCTGAGTTTCTATATTCATCCCCATCAGCCATTATCATTTTTCACTGCTGGATAAAGAACTCCGGAACAAATGTGTATAGTATCACGCTGTACTACAGCTACACGCTGCCACTTTTACGCATTCATATAGTCAGAATACACAACGCTGTCACTTAGTTTATTTAGGACGCCTAAAGGGCTCGCCTCCTCGTTAATTCACTCTATCAGTTTCCCGGGGCTGATTTCCCTGCAGAATAAACACACGCAGGCTTCCTTTCCTGTAGGAAAGAGGCACACAATAAATACCCAAGGCAGTGTACACACACACACACACTCCCCATAGGAGATGCATACATTCTCAGTAAGACATAAACACACGTTGCCCACCCCCCCATAGGACAGATGCAAACAATGGCAAATACGATTACAAAATGCTGTTGGGAAATAAGTCACATTTACGTATAGTTCACACACGGACATCTACGTGGAGTATACGGGCACACACGATATTCTTCATGAACTACAATAAGACACAGCGGGCGACGTTGCAATTCATGTACCAACAAAATAATGTATAGTATGTTCAAAAGCACGGACCCTCAACTTCTCTATAGGTGAGCGTCTACTAAATATAGATCGTGGCAGGTCTTGCTTATGAGTATTGAAACTAACTCTCACACCAACAGCAGCACCACCACCACAAGCATAAACAAATTGCAACCTTCAGTTGGCACCATTCGAACCTCCAGCACCGTCCGCTTCAACAATTTACAGCAACTTGATTCCCGGGGACCTTAAACCAAACTCGAGCAACGTCTCAACGAATGCCATCGACAGTACCTCAACCACATCAAGAGGCACCCAGCACCCCCACCATCATCACAAGCAGCAGCAGCACTATATCTGAGATTCCAACCGCAGAACCACCACAAAAAATGACCCATGCCAAAAGCACGTGCAGAAGAACTTTCAGCGTCAGAATATTTAGGGAGCACAAAATATGTATCGAGTACCATGACCAGACAGGGTTTCTTCATAGCTGAGGGACGCACACAGAAAAACAAACATTGAAAGGGTGAGAAAACGTGTAGCCGAGAACACGTGTAGCCAAGAAACGGGACTTTTAACGAGAACCAATATTTCCCAGGGCAGAGAACGATCCTGGGAAAAGCATGACAGGTGGCAACCCCATCGGTAGTAGCACATAATGGCTTGGCTTCGCGAACGAAGATCTAGGAAGGACATCCACGTATTCTGCACATACCGCCAGCTATATCTGCAGCGCACCAAAAAAAATATCCAGTTATCAGAAACTCGCACAGCAGCAGCAGCAGCAATGCCACCACCAACAACTGACCATCATCACCTAATTACTCCAGCACTGCCACCACCACGAGTGTTGTTGTTATTACCTTGAGCAGCAGCGAAGTCCCTTGCGAGCAGGAAGATGAGCAGAGCCAGCAGCTTGGAGCTCTGCTGCCGGCGGGGACCCATGCCGTCTCCACCACCCCTGGTCATCATCACTTGCTCCTGCTTAGATGGCTTCGTGGTTTGTGCTGACGGTGGTGAAGATGATGTTGTGACAATGCAGGTGCCGGCTGCTAGCCGGCGAAGACAAGGTGGATGTTTACACCTTTGTGCGCGACCAAAATCTCCTGTTTGCCACCCGTAAAGAAGTCCTCTTCGCTTAACCAAAAGCCAATCGCCAGTTAATAATGGTGAAACAACACGAGGCTCTTCAGTTCAGTGCGTCTTCTCTGGCTGCAGCCACCACTGCCGCCGCCGCCGCTGCTGCTGCGAGACTCAAACGAGTCAGCAGCAGTGAGCGCCGGGTTGGCTTCACGTCGCTCCCGCGGGCTCATTCATCAAAGCGCCGTGCGTGGGGCGGGACGGACAATGTGTGGAAGCGGCGGCGTGGGGTTTACAGGGGGGGTGGGTGGGTGTAGTGGGAAGATGGGTGGGTGGATGTGTGGTTGGGTGTGTGGGATGATGGGTGGGTGATGCCGGGTGTGGGTGGATGTGTGGGTGGGTGGATGGGTGGGTGGATGTGTGGGTGGGTGGGTGGATGTGTGGGTGGGTGGATGTGTGGATGTGTGGGTGGGTGGATGGGTGGATGTGTGGATGTGTGGGTGGGTGTAGTGGGATGATGGGTGGGTGATGCCGGGGGTGGGTGGATGTGTGGGTGGGTGGATGTGTGGGTGGGTGGATGTGTGGATGGGTGGATGGGTGGATGTGTGGGTGGGTGTAGTGGGATGATGGGTGGGTGATGCCGGGGGTGGGTGGATGTGTGGGTGGGTGGATGTGTGGGTGGGTGGATGTGTGGGTGGATGGGTGGATGTGTGGGTGGGTGTAGTGGGATGATGGGTGGGTGATGCCGGGTGTGGGTAGATGTGTGGGTGGGTGATGCCGGGTGTGGGTGGATGTGTGGGTGGGTGGATGTGTGGGTGGATGTGTGGGTGGGTGGATGTGTGGGTGGGTGATGCCGGGTGTGGGTGGATGTGTGGAAGGGGGTGTGTGGGTGGGGGATGGTTGGGGGTGGATTTCGCCGGGGTGGGGAACTTGCTGCTGGGCAGATTGTGAGAATAAATATTTTGCGCGTGTAGTGCAGTGGGAAGAAAAAAAACACGACGAGTGTTGTTGCGGTGGGGAGTCTTTCGGACGGCCACTAGCAATCTGTGTGTAACTGCACGGTGTGTCTGTGTTGTTTTAAGGTTAATATTAAACCTGGGGAGGTATCTAAAGTGCAACGAGCTGGTTACATACACACCTGTGAACGGTATCGTGCTGTTACGTGAGCGACGAGGGTTGTAAAGAGGTCGTTGGTAGGCGTGCGAACGAGTGAATCGTTGAATGTGCCAATATAATCTCATACGACGACGTGTGTGTGTTTGTGTACAAGTGATGAGTGGGTGGCGTTTAGAGCCAAACTCCGGACGTGCTTTATACGGCTTCTCGTATTCGTAATGGTGCACAGCGATGAGTGGGCGGCGTTAATAACCGAAGAAAATCCACCCGTGCGTTCCCCGTGTGTGTGTGTTCCAATGCTGTGCTCAAGTGATGAGTGGGTGGTGCCGAGGGCAAAATCAAGCTCGCGTTGAACCTGTGTCGCTCACACGCGCGCGTGTGTGCAATGCATGAGCGATGAGTGAGGTGTTAAGACATCTGCAGAACGCTTACAGCACAAACTGCTCTTTGCACTAATCCGTGCACCACACCCAGCGCAACACACACGTGCAGCAGCAGCAGCAGCTTGTGCTGACAGCACTCAAACGTGGGACTCAAGTGCAGCAACAGCACAGCTGCTCACTCACTGCACCCACAGTGCAGCAGCAGAGCTCTTACTGCAACTACAATGCAGCACACAGGTGCAGCAGCACCACAGCTTCTACAAGCTGCACGCAAACAGTACACATGTGTACAGCTACTACTCACGGACATTACAGAGCATCCTATTGCAGCAGCACAGCTTCTACGACTCACTGCACACACAGTACACATGTATAGCAGCACAGCTCCTATTCACTGCACCCCAGTGAAGCAGCACAACTTATACGACTCACTGCACAGATCACACACAAAACCCTAGTGCAGCACAACTTCCACGACTCACTGCACGCACAGCACAAAAAAGTGCAATACCGCAGCTCCTACTCACTGCACTAATACACAGCACCCAAGAGCAGCTGCTACGACTCACTGCACGGCAAACACAGCACCAAAGTGCAGCAGCACATCTTCTCAGACTCACTGCACTAATACACAGCACCCAAGTGCAGCTGCTACGACTCACTGCACGGCAAACACAGCACCAAAGTGCAGCAGCACAGCTTCTCAGATTCACTGCACTAATACACAGCACCCAAGTGCAGCTCCAACGACTCACAGCACACAGCACGCACAGATTCTACGACTCGCTGCACGGAGCACACACAAGACCCTAGTGCAGCAGCACAGATTCTACAACTCGCCGCAAGGAGCTCTCCGCGTGTTACCCCGACGCACGTGGGCGGCGTACCCCCCCCCCGCCTGACACTCGAACCAATCAGAATTCACAGCGAGTTCGGTTCGTTCCCGTAGGCGGGGGCTCTTGTACGACTTTGACCAATCACGGGAAGGTATCGCTCGGGCATGACTCCGCCCTCCATCGGCGGGGCCCCACCCACCCCCCACGTGGCTCGGGCTATAGCGTGGCTCTGCTGCCCGCAGTGTTTGGGGTTTGTTGAGGTTTATTTTATTCCCGTTTAATGTCCTGCGTTATAAATTGGATTGCGAGTCTTTATAGCAGCTCCCGAGAACCATAATGTGCGAAGGGGAACGATTTGCTACCTCGGCATTATCGCGTGAGAGTGTGGCGTCAGCGTTTTGCATTGAGATCAAATTGGATGTTGTGTTGGTGACCAAACATCCATTCTCAATCTGCTACTGCCACCTTTTGGTCACTTTGTTTAATTTTGTTTACAGTTTTTTTCCATTCGTTTTCTGTGTTCGAAAAAACGAATTCAGTCTTATTAATCCAAAATAATAATCGTTAGTATTCAATCGTTTTATGGCCTGCAGTAAAACTAATTGTGCGGTGTACGTAAACATACATTAAGCGGGTTCCTCTTCTTCAGTATAATTTTTATGCAATGGAAAACGATCAAAGGTGTATTAAAATAAAGTATGAAAATTACAGCGATTGTTCTGTCACTGACAATATGAAAAACTGTAAAATATAAAACCACGTTATCTGACACCAATTGTATAATTTCGCGTGGTGTTGTTTTTTTATATGTAAAAATCACATCTACAGTTCAAACACTGATTATATTATTGATTGCCGAGCTATATTACAATAAATTAATAACTGGCCTCTCATGATCACGTTAACTATTAATGTGTGCTGAAACTTGTCAGTACAGACATGTAGGCCACGTGGAACAATACAATATTTTATCCCACATTTTTGGTGTTGATTTATATACAGTAATGACAATGAATTTGCAGTACATACAGGTATGATTTTTATTATCACAGCTGTTAATATGTTCAGGAGGAAAGTCTTTTAAAAAAAACATACAGGGTATCGTTTATGTGAACAAAATGGGGTTTGGAATACTATACAGTTAGGATATTGACATCTGTGGCTTCTAAAACACAAAAAAGTATGCATATAAAATTATGCAAAGAAAAAAACACATAGGTCTGTATTATTACAGCTATAAATGCCACTATCATTTAATAGTGTGAAACATACCAAGTCATCTTTGCATAAATAACCTTAGGTATTACTCCTGTTGTGATTTTTGAAGATTGAAATGTCGTAACTTTTATTAGGAGCGTTAGTTTAAAATATAAGTTCATGAATGTGAAATTTATTTTCTGAATTTTTGTATTTCTGGTTTGTGTGGACCAGTGAAAGCATTATAGCAAAAATACAATTATGAAGACATTAGGGTTTTCACCAAATTATTTCTAAATGAAACATCCTCTCGTGGTCAGGGGCTCAATGTGTGGTTTCAAACAGGTTTGCCTATTGTGCTGAACAATATCTTAACTTGAAGGTCATATTTGAGGATTTACAAATTGTCTGTGCTGTCGAAGGACAGACACTGTTGTGCAATCGTCTCCTATAATTTTTACGTTTACATTTTGTCAGTAACTGCATGATGTTCTTTGTGCAGCATTTGAGTCAAGGAAAAGTGGCATGAATATAACTGGAAGTAGGCAATTGCCAGCGGCTGTCAACAGTAGCCATGGAGAAGGAATGGGTCAAAGCAAATGTGGGGAGCAAACATCAATACTTGTTTATGTTCATACACAGTTCTTTAACCGATGTTTAAGTTGCAGAAGCAACAATATACAGTATTGGCAGCAAGTGGAAACCCCAACAGTGGTCCCCATTGGTTGCCAAAAAAAAGTATTAACACTTATATTGATTTAATAACGTTCAATATTTGCATTGCATGCCAGAAGCATACATACAGCACACCTGTAGTACTTTTCCTGGTGCAAATCAAATCCCATGAAAGATGCACACTGCTTGTATTCTATAACATTGGTTGGTTTTGGGTTGCCCAACTGTCAAATCCACACAAACTGGAAATTCGACAACCAAGATAAGCACCACGGTATCCAGCCAGGATAGCTTTGTTGCGGTGACATTTCTCAACATCTATTGCTCATGTTTGTCCTAAGACTTTACACGTAATCACTTGCTCGTGATATTTCAGTAATGGGGAAACACCCTCCTGTATAAATGCCCCAGTACTGGGCTGAAAACACTGATGAAATATGTCCTCTGGTAGCTGTCAGCTATTTTATTTACCCAAATACTTATATTAAAACAAGATTCAAGTTGTTGTAAACCGGCTTCCACTGATGTCTAATCAAGTTTGACTCACTGGAGCTCAATCTTGGAAATAGGTTCACCATCAAAACTTCTGCTACCCAACTTCCTATTGATCAAATGCCTTTTTGTGGAACAGTCGATAAATGGCCGAGAAGCCTCTACCTACTCTGGCATGCCAGCCTTCCCAATCACAGCAGCCAATTGCTTGCAACTCCCAGCTGTCTGTTACTTTGAACTTTTTAAAGACTGTAACACGGTGGCAGGAAGCAAATTGCCTACAAAATGTTACCATATTACTCTAACCCCTCATGAGCAGTAAATAAAAACAATGAATTGGATCCTTTCTCCAGGCAACCGTGTCTCCTAGGAACTGGTGCATGTGTACAGGATCCCACGTAATGAATGTCAAACTGTACATCTAGAACATTTCATGATGGGAAATGTTACAAACTAGCCTCAAGACTGTGCAAACAAAACAATGTTTCCCTGCAAACCTTGTAGCATACAATTTTCTGCAACCTGCGTTTGATGTTCTGAGTTAAAAATAAATTAAACGAGCCTGAAGCAGCATGTTCTCTTTAGAAACCCTCTCTTGCACCGCACACCCCATCATGAAGGTCCACATCACCAG